GATTCTCCCTCATCATTGAAGTCTCTCTCTCTCTCTCTCTCTCTCTCTCTCTCTCTCTCTCTCTCTCTCTCTCTCTCTCTCTCTCTCTTCCTTCCTGTCTCTGAAATCAATAATAAAAACAAACAAACAAACAGATTTAAAAAAAAAATAGATCTGGCCCTGGCTGGTGTGTCTCAGTTGGTTGAGCACTGTCCCATGCACCAAGAGGTCACCAATTCGATTTAGTGTGCAGGAGGGAGCTGATCAATTGTTTCTTTCTCATCAATGTTTCTCTCTCTCTCTTCCTCTCTTAGAATCAATTTTAAAAACCTATTTAAAAAAAATAGATTTGAGCCCTGGCTGATTTGGCTCAATGGATATAGCATCAGCCTGTGAACTGAAGGGTCCTGGGTTTGATTCCAGTCAAGAGCTCATGCCCAGGTTGCGGGCTCTTTCCCTAGTAGGGGGCGTGTGGGAGGCAGCTGATCAATGATTCTCTCTCATCATAATTGATGTTTCTATCTCTCTTTCCCTGTCCCTTCCTCCCTGAAATCAATAAAAAATATATTTAAAAAAGAAAAAGATCTGATAATGAATTTTCATGGGGATAAGCCTCAGAAATTGCTGAGGATTCGGGATCAGCATACTATGGCCCGTAAACCACAGCATGTTTGCTGCCTGTTTTTAAAATAGTTTTATTGGAACACAGCCACACCCATTCATTTATATATTGTCTTTGGCTGGCTGGTTCTTTGCTATAATGACAAAGTTGACAAAATTTGCATGGCCCTAAAATTTTTACTATTCTGCTCTTAACAGAAAAAAAAAGTGTTTGCCTTTAAGCCTTAGGTTATTGTCACCAAAAGCATGGTTTACAGACTGTAATTGGTCTGTGTACTATTTATTATCAAATTGTATTACTATAAGGAGCTATCATGAACTGTAAATAGAGACCAACTACATTATTATGCACACTATTGCATCCAGCTGAAGTTTTTTATAGTCAGACTTCCTTGATAAAGGACGCAGTGCATAGATTTACATTCTGTGGCAGCCTTTTTATATATATATATATATATCTTATTGATTTTGTACAGAGAGGAAGGGAGAGAGATAGAGAGTTAGAAACATCGATGAGAGAGAGTCATCGATCAGCTGCCTCTTGCACACCCCCTACTGGGGATATGCCCACAACCAAGGTACGTGCCCTTGACCGGAATCGAACCGGGGTCCCTTCAGTCCCCAAGCCGACGCTCTATCCATTGAGCCAAACCGGTTTCGGCCTGTGGCAGTCTATCTCTCTGTTGATCAGCATTTTTAGTTCCAACAGGTTACAGGGCCTGCTTACACCTCCCCCCACAGTGAGAGTTTTCTTTAGTACATTGCCCAAATGCCTAACACCAAGAGAAAGGCAACTTTTCTTCTTTATTATTTCCTACTCCAAAATTCCCTTTTCCTGTGATAGAGCATTCAGGAGAGATGTATTAGCTTCAGAGGGCAGGGACTTTTTGTTATATATTTTGACACTGACATATTCCAACTGTCTTAAATAATGCCTTGGCATACTAGGCCTTCAATAATAATTGGAGAATTGAATAACATGGCTTGCTTTTATAAATAAATAAATAAATAAATAAATAAATAAATAAATAAATAATCAAGATGCAATAATGGGCACATTTCCAGAGTTCCATTATTTCAGAACACCATCAGAAAACCCTGACCAGGAATCCAATTGTGACCTCCTGGTTCACAGGTTGACGTTCAACCTGAGTCACACTGAACTTCTTTGAGAGCAAAATTAAATATCTTAATGAGAGCACAACAATAAACGTAATGTTTTTAGAAGTCTTTGATAAAATTCTAGACTAAACATCACTATTAAAACCAAAGTCATCTTGGAAAATGACTTGTGAAAGAACTGCTCCAAAACCATTAAACAAAGCATGAATAGAAGTGCGCAGGTGCACATTCAAACAGTGCATGAACAAGCACTAACCTGTAGAATATTCTCAGAAAAACAACTCTTTTCTCTTTTGTTGTCCACTTATATCTGCTCAGTGAGTCTCGTCCTCCCCCTGAGTGTCTGTGGAAACTTGGCTTTCCTTCTTGTCCTTAAACAATGAGTTCAGAGTGCTTGTTCACTTTAAGATTCACTCTTGACTTGAGATAAAATGGGAGGTGTTTTCTGTTTTTTAATCTCAAAAAACACACACAAACAAACATCAAAATACTTCACAAATGCCCAAGAGAACCAACCTTTATGCCCTTGATATAGATAAGGACTCTAAACAGGTTGTAACTCTAAAAATCATTAATTTGAAATTCACTTAGGTATCTGATACTCTAGGATCTCAGCGGAACCTTCCATTTTAACATTCCATTCCACCTGAATAAAGAGGTTTAAACAGCAGAGTACACCAGGGTTTGGCTCTAATGCATTCTTATTAAATATTTGGTAAGAGATTCAGAGGTGAGCATGTATGTGAAATATCCAAAGGGACATATGACATGGAACTTTCAGTTAGTAAAATGCCAAGTGCAGAATAAACTGCAGAAAGATGGCACCAGGCTGGCTGAGTGGGCAGACATGGCAGATGAGTCAAAGATACGGTAGAAGATGCTTTCCGGACAAATAATCCAAACACTGTCTTCAGGGTAATGGTCTCCAGGGCAGAAGTCATGACCAGGTGAGAGGATGCACCTCAGAAAGGTACAAAGCTGTTCACAAAATAAGGATCACTTGAGATACAATTAAAAGTCTTCAGGAGCCCAGCCAGTGTGGCTCAGTGGTTGAGCACTGATCTATGAACTAGGATGTTATGGTTCAATTACTGGTCAGAGCACATGCCCCGATTGCGGGCTCAATTCCCAGTGTTCCTCTCTGAAATAAAAAAATATATATATATTTTATATATATATTTATTTATATATTTATATAAATATATATAATACATTCAATATATTTATATTTATATATATATTGAAAAGTCTTTAGGAGACTCTCAATATTTTTTCTCCATTGAAATGATGAGGCATTGGATAGCTGGTAAAATTCTCACTAATAAAAATAAATGCCCTTCAGACAGGAATCAGATAAGCAACTTGTTTCTGCAAAAGCTGAACTGTAGCCAGTTCTCATACAAACTCGTTTCATAAATACTTCCCTCTTCCAAGGAGAGGGATAGGGAATAAGTGGTTTAAAAAATGTTCAGGAAGGTGCTGAGGATTCTGCTCAGGATTATTCCAGGGGGAAGGGTCCATCTGTTCCCTCTAATCATTTAACTTGCTCCACTCTCTTCCGTGTTTCGTATTTATTTTTTAAATATATTTTATTGATTTTTTTTTTTATAGAGAGAGGAAGGGAGAGGGATAGAGAGTTAAAAACATTGATGAGAGAGAAACATCGATCAGCTGCCTCCTGCACATCCCCTTAGGATGTGTCTGAAACCATGGTACATGCTCTTGACCGGAATTGAACCTGGGACTCTTCAGTCCACAGGCCAATGCTCTATCCATTGAGCCAAACCAATTAGGGCTCTTCCGTATTTCTTCATCAGGACTTTAGAGCTTCTGCATCTAAGATCAAATATTTTTCTCACTTCCACTTTTATATTATTAAAATACCACAATTATTTGAAAAATCATTATCCTGCTCCTATTGCTTTCAGTATTTATTTTAGGAGAAAATATTTTATCACAAAAGATTTCATGACATCTCTATGGCTAAATATTTATGTATCTTTGTAAGTGCCTTGATTGATCGGTCTCAGATTGTATCAGATTCTATCTGATTTCAATCCCTGCTTCACTTCCTATTTAATCCTGCTTCGTAGGCCACAAAGATCACCTTCAAAATATTATAACTTTTGCTTGACCAGTGTTGCTCAGTGGTTGAGCATCCGCCTATGAACCAGAAGGTCACGATTTGATTCCTGGTCAGGGCACATGCCTGGGATGTAGGCTTGATCCCCAGCGTTGGTCGTGCAGGAGGCAACCCATCAATGATTCTCTCTCATCATGGATGGTTTTCTCTCTTCCTCTCTGAAATCAATAAAAAAAATATATTTTTTAAATGTTATGAATTTTATGTCATGAAAACACAAAACATAACCATCAAGTAAACAGGATGTGAGTAATTTTCAAGTAAACAGGACATAAAGATAATTCAAGAAGAGGAACTCCACAAATCTTAGCATTGGAACAAGCACATAACTTTTTTCTGCTGAATCTTTTCAATATATGTGCTGTAATATTTATTTACAAAATCATTAACACTTTTATACTCTTGCCTCATACTTGTTATTAATATGCTTAACGGTATCTCATATTTGGAGTAAAACACTTACTTGTTTTAATGTATTCATGTAAATAGCACTCAGAAGTGGGTAGATTTTAATTTTTAGTAGTGTCTTGTTTTTATTCATGACATTCTCACATCTATAGTAATAAAAGCATAATATGCTAATGAGACCAGATGTCCTTCCAGGACAAACCCCGGGCTGCAGCCATGGGATCCAGACAGCCACTGGGGCTGTGAGGGAGGGATCAAGGCCTACTTTGCATGAGTTTTGTGCATCAGGCCTCTAGTTTAATAATAAAATATATAAAAGTGGATGTCTATAAGATTTTTTTAATTGGAGGAGTTTCCTGTATTATATTTGTTTCTTTTAAAACTTTGCCGGGACCAGTTTGGCTCAATGGATAGAGCGTCGGCTTGGGGACTGAAGGGTCTCAGGTTCGATTCTGGTCAAGGGCATGTACCTTGGTTGCGGGAATATCCCCAGTGGGGGGTGTGCAAGAGACAGCTGATCGATGACTCTCTCTCATCGATGTTTCTAACTCTCTATCTCTCTCCCTTCCTCTCTGTACAAAATCAATAAAATATATTAAATAAATAAATAAATAAATAAATAAATACTCCCGGGGCCAGTAATTCATGATTTTAAACTGTTGTAACCTTAGGGACTTGTCTACTGCTTCATCTCTCAACTTAAAAAAAAAAAAAAAAAAGTAAGCAAAGTCTGCAGAAGGTACTTTCAATTCCGCTGTGAAGGGCAATACTTTGCAGTAATTCTTTTCTGGCAGGCTCCTGTAATTTTCCATCACAAATTAGTACTCCAGCTTATTTCAAGCAGACATACCTTCCATGTGCTCTAAATACGTGGTTGACCTTGAAGTAGAAGTGGAAACCAGCCCAAATCACATTCTACTTTCCCCTTTCCAGCTCCAAACATTTTCATGTGGGAACATCAGCTGAAGAGAAATCAACCTTAAACCAAAGAATGAGGAAGCGTCACACCCAGTCTGGGCAGAAGGTATGTGGAAGATAAGCCAGTCTGACCTGCCTGCCTTACCGAGGGGATGGCAGGAGGTAGGGCATTCATCAGTAAGAGACTTTCCCCCTAAAGGACGCTGAGGACATTGAGTTTTTATAGCCCTAGGAGACAGGTAGTATTCTTAGCCTCATATTTTACAGATGGGAAAACTGTTCTCCAGTTGTTTTCAGTCCCAGTTGGGGAATTGGCCAACTGCCTGAGTGAGTCAAGGTAAAGATGCTCAATACTACAGTCATGAGGGCCTAGTGTTCTTGTCATGCCCAGCACACACCCTGAATATGTGATAATATATGCTTAAAAAGTAACTCCATGTTGTACTAATTATCACACAAATATCAGTGTTGGTGAGTATTTATTTTCAGTATTTGAATCACTAACCCTCACTGAAGTACTGATTTCACTTTGGCTATTTGTGCCAATATAAGGAAGCATTGGCATGGATATTGGAAGTGGGCAATTTGCCCACCCATCAGGACCATGCTCCTCACACAAATGTCCCAAACACTGAAATTTGCTGTCATCTCATTCCTCTACAATTAAAGCTAGAATTGAAGAAAACTACCACTAGGGGGCAATAAATATCTTATCATGTGGTCAGAACCAGAGATAAATAAATTGGTGGCCAGCAGCCATATTTTGCTTGATTCAAATGGTTTGTTGGCCTGTTTACTTTAAATTTAAGTCCACATTTAATAATAAGGAATGTTCACATAACAATAGTTTTTCCTGATAAAAAAAACAAAACAAAAACAAACAAAAAAACCAAAAAAAAAAAACCCCAGAAGATCTAGCAATTATTGGCTCTGCATTTCCTCACAATAACAATTGTCAGGAGTCCAACCACCCCATTTAGACAGTGAGGCTGTCTTCAGTATTCCGTCATTAATGTACTCCACATGCTCCCCACAGCCTGCTACAGTTACCTACCTGGTCTCTGTGGCATTTATGTTTGTGAACTCCTCATCCAAACAATTAGGCTAAGGCAGAAAATATGATTTTAAGAAAGATTGTGCCAAAACCGGTTTGGCTCAATGGATAGAGCATCAGCTTGGGGACTGAAAGGTCCTGGGTTTGATTCCGGTCAAGGGCATGTACCTTGGTTGCGGGCATATCTCCAGTAGGGGGTGTGCAAGAGGCAGTGGTTGATGACTCTCTCTCATCGATGTTTCTAACTCTCTGTCCCTCTCTCTTCCTCTCTGTACAAAATCAATAAAATATATTTTTAAAAAAGATTGTATTCATTAAGTAAAATTTTAACTTTGTTTTTTTAAAAAACAACAACATTGCATTATCAGATACAATAATTAAACATTACAGGGATCAATGTGTTTGAAAATGATCAATTTTTAGGTATAATTGGATGTATTTATCACTAATATTTAACTAGTTTATTCTAATTCTGTTCTTAAGCTCTGACTAAAACAGAAATTTGGACAGTCATTTTAAATCCACATCCTTAAGGCATCAGGAGCCTGCTAGAGAGGCTATACCTGTTGTTACTTCCAACCAATCTGGCGTCTGGCCCTTCCCTTAGTTGCAGGGAGAAACAAGAATTGCATAGCTGCCATCAAGATCTTGCTTAGATGCAGCCTCCCAACTTCTCACCTATTGCATTCTCTCTCTGACAGGTAAGCTCACTCACAATCAGAACAGACAGAGAGAGCAAGTGATGGGCTCCAAGGTGAAGAAGGGCCATGGCAGGAATATTTCTATTTCCAGACTCCTAGACAGTCCTCACTGTTTAGGGTCGAACTTTCTGGTTTCGTGGAGAAAGTTACTGCTGCTCTACAGAGGTACCTTGGAGTGGCAGACAGAGATCTAGGTCTGAGAAAGGGGTGGTTTGAGTTCTGCCTCTATCACTCACTGGTTATCCATTTCTATTGTGCCCTGAGGCTCAATTTTCCTGACTATAAGGTGAAGAAATACTATTTGCCCTTACTATTTCCCCATGTTATTGTTAAAAATAAATAAAATAATACAATGAAAACAAAGTGTAGAACACCGTATAATACAATGTATTAGAATTTGAAAAAGGCTTGGGAGACAAACTGATCTAAGATGCCTATTTTTCTTGTCTAAAAGGTTTAACAATTAGGATGCAGGTGAGCAAGATCCTCAGAATGAAAGAGACTTTTAGGTAAGAGTCAGTGAGTCTTTGGGAAAGGAGTAGGCAGAGTAGGCAGCACCAGGAATCTGACTCCCCCTTAGGTAACAATTGTACTCAAATCTGCCTGATAGAACTATTGGAACTCTGGAGTCTCTTAAAGGCTCCAAACTTCCAAGAGAAGGCTTGGGGGTAAGTTGTGATTATTTTTTACAATTTCAGCTCTGAGCATAGTAGCAACTACGCAGGCCCCCACCCTGTGGAAGGCAGCTGTGCACTTGTTCCTGGGCAGCTTGCATGCAGCCTGCCAGAGCCAGCAGACGGGGGGGGGGGGGGGGGGGGGACACACGACGACGACACCGTCCTCCGAATACCAGGATCTGCTCTCTGATTGCTGATTGCTGTTTATGACACAGAGGAGCAGGCGAAGAGGCAGCTGCCATGTGGTACACCTACCCTCATGCTGCAAGCCCCTCTGCCGCTGGCTTAGTTAACGTCCGTGGGTTTAAAGGTCTTACCCTGCACTTTTCTCTTTTTTCCTTTGGGAAGGCATGCATTAAAAACTAGGACATCAAAAGCAACCACATATTCAGGGGAAATTAATTAGAAAGTCACTGCACATATCCAGGCAAAGGCACAGGCTCAGAAAAGACCTGAGAAGACCTTAAGGTTACATCTCAGCCTGATTCTCAGTACAAAAAAGCCTACAGCAATAAAAAAAAAAAACCAAAAAAAACAAAACAAAACCCCAACATAAAAACAGAAAACCCTAGGGAAGGAGAAGTGTCTTATTTCCAGAGTTACCAAATAAATGGATTTAAATGTCCATTTTTTCAACAACAACAGCAAAAAATTACCAGGCATACAAAGAAACAGGAAAATATGGCCCATTCAAAGGAAAAACTAAACCAACAGAAACTGTCTAGGTGGTTGATGAACACATTAAAACAGCTGTCTTAAAGATGCTCAGAGAATTAAAGGAAGACATGAAAAAAATCAAGAATTATGTCTGAGTAAAGAGTGTAGGCAAATAGAAAGACACTCAAGGACCCTGCTGCCCCATGACGGACTGTGAAGCAGCCTTGCTTGAGTCGGCCTGTAACGGCAGGGGAGCTGAAGCCCCTCTCTCCAGGCCGAAGGCTTCCAAGGCCCCCCACCGGTTGGCACCTAGTATCTCTCAAAATAGAATTTCTTCCCTTCTTTACGCCTTTAAGCAAAAACCTGTCTCAACAAGAAGCAGTAACAGTTCTCCCTGTGTTCCCACTCCTGCAGACCTACATCCAAGAAAAATGTTTCCTTTCCCTGCTACTGAAATGCAAGCAGACACGCACACACAGGCCGTCAGCACCAGCGACCTGGAGCTGAAACCTCGCCCCACGCCACCCAGTCAGCCATTCCCTTCCCGGCCCAGGATGCCCACTACCCTGCTCAGGCGAATGGCACTTGCTTTATAACTGTGTAATTCTGGGCATTTTTTTTTTCTTCTTCTTTTAAACAGAAACACAGTTTAAAGGTGAATGAACATTTACTGTGGAGACTAAAAACACACACAAAAAAACAACTTCATAAATTTTGAAGTTCAGCCTCAGCCAGGACCCTCTATTGCCTGTAGGTGAAGAAATCAAGAGTGGGGAACATTAAGTTTGGTGGTTAAAGTCATCCAGGCAGCGGCCGAGCCAGGTGAGGACCTCAGACCCAGTCTAATGCTCTTCCTTGGGAGAGGGGGAGAAGAGGAGGCTAAGCGAGGTGTCCTTGGATACTTTTTCCTCTCAGGAGAAAGAAGAATGAATTTCTCTGTTCTCCTTCGCCTACTTTTTTGGTCATCTGCTTGGTATGTGTCATTTCTGGCTCCTGCGTTTCCAACACAGCCGGCTCTTGTCTCCTGAGCGTGGCGGCTGGGTGGTTTTTCTGGAAAGCTCAGCCTGAGCCTCCTCCGAAGGGAGAGTGGGCACAGCCCTCCTCACTCTAAAAACACGCTCTGTGTTTCAGCTGAGGCGGTTAACACATGATTAAGTCTCATTTTATTGGGACTTGAACTGTGTCTCAGTTCCTTTCACTGGTTTTCTTTCCAACTTCCTGTGTTCTGGTCCACCTTTTCACTTTCCTATTTTTATCTTTTTAAATAAACTGATTGTGATGTGCTCCATGGAGCCTAGAATCATTGACTTGTGCCTCCTAATAAGTCAGTGTCTGCAGGTTGTCTTTCATGTCCAAGCTTCTCCTTCAGCTTGGCTGCGTGGATGTGCTGCCAGAGGGCCCCAATGGGGTCAGACCAGGACCAATGCCAGACTAACCTTCTGTGAGGCCCCCTTCCCTCTCCCGGGTCCAGGGAAAGGCTCCTTCCCTCAGCTTCACCAGGAACGTAGGCATGTGTCAGCTTCCTAACTCTCTAGGCTGCTCCGTGTGTCCTGGGAGAAAATACTGGGGGTAGGTTAGTGATGACTGTTTTACCACATTCCTGTGAAAATGCCTGCAGACAGAAGGCTCCACTCAAGGACCCAAAAGCCTTCCTCCAGCCTGTCTTTTGGGGTGGGGTGGGGGGTAGGATGTGGGACTGGCCCTGCTGGAAGGTGTCAGTATCTAAAAGAAACGGCAGGGGGGGGGGCAGGGGAGACGCGAGCACGGGTCCCCAGGCCCTAGGATTCTGTCCTTTTTGGGGAGAGCATAAGGACCCTCCAGTAGCACCCACACAATCCTGTTGGGCTGTCTCCAGAGCATTCTTCGAGAAAT